ACCGAACTTGGTGGTGTGGACCAACTTGAATCAGTGAGCCTGGTGGTAGTGTTCTTTCTCGCGTGAGTTCTTGAAGGTAGGTCATACCCGTGCAGGTGGGTAATACCCGTAGGTCATACCCGGCAGGTCATACCCGGTAGGTCATACCCGTGCAGGTGGGTCACACCCGTAGGTCATACCCGGTAGGTCATACCCGTGCAGGTTAGGTCACGCAGGTGGGTCACACCCGTCGTTTGTTGCCGCTCACAATCGACTTCAAATCCACTCTAAATACCAGCGAATTTTGCGTGTTTCCAGCGGCCATGAATTTGCTCAAGTCATGGTCCGTTTTGAGTCCCAAATATTTGGGGAATGCAAATGCCTTCCCTTCAACCGCGGATCCAAATACATGACTGACAGACGTTGATGGAACTGCGGAAGATTTATGTAGGGTGTAATTCAAAGGTGTGTGTAATTCAAAGGTGTGTGTAATTCAAAGGTGTGTGTAATTCAAAGGTGTGTGTGTTCTTACTGATTTGGCCAAAGGAATCGCACAAGCTTATTTGAGTCCATGTCTTGCCAAGAACCCCGAGTTTAACTGCCTCATATTGGGCGTAGTTTTTCCTGCACTGAGCTTGGTCACATTCTAGACGTATTCCAACATGCTGTTTGTTGACACAAGGCAAACATCGCAATCGGAACCCCAATCGAAAAATTAGGGCGCTAGATTTGATCCTGAATTCTGCCCCGAAAACAGGTGACACAATGCTGTTCCTCATTGGTAGTTCTACAACACAGATCAGGGAGAGGGAGGGGGAGAGGGGAGAGGGAGAGTTACCATTTTCTTTGGCCAATGACCTGAGCAAACCAAAATCCGGTACGACCCAAATTGCAGCCATGCACAATGACACTAACTCGTTAGCAAGCGGCGCACAATACGCACTCTTGATGGTCACGGACATCTGATCCAGACGAAGAGGCACCCGCTCCCCACCACCCACTTCCCCATCTCCCACTTCCCCAACTCCTATTCGGGCATCTCTGCCCACAGCGATCCGGGACCTCCCGGCAGACTTTGTTTGGGTGCAGGCAGCCCCCGTGTGCTCTGTCTCCATGTCCTCTACCCCCGGGTCTCCTGAGCATCTGGGATTTTCTGACTGTCTAGTGAGGGGTGACGGAGGGACACACGTGTCCTGAACCTTCCTTGTGTTACCTTGCTGTGTAAGGTTCCCAGCTCCCGCACCAAATGTCGACCCGACGGTTGCACGCCCCGTGAATCCCCGCGGGACGCGGTCGTGCCCCACAGTCGGATTGAGATCCGTCTGGTACGTGTCGCTCTCGGAAATTTCCTCCATCGTGTAAGGTGTGTAGTGATCTACGGGCTTCTGCTGGCCCACAAACCTCTGGCCCACAAACCTCTGGCCCACAAACCGGCTGAGAGGATCAGGAGCCAGCGCTTCCGCAGACTCCGTGGCGGATGAGTGGATGCCTAGTGCGGTCCGTATCAAGGCGCGACGTTCCCGAGCCCTCGTTATCACCCGGTTCTTCAGCGCCTCCAAGGAGGTGTCTGGGCTCGTGTACTGTTCAGCTGGCACTCGATCCCCAGCCATCACCTGCTCCCCGCCAGCCGGAACCTGTGTAGCCGGAATCCGCGGAGACGTCGCACTCAGTCGCGGGTTCCACTGGCCACCAACACCCGTTGCGTCCCGTCGCGCCTGTGTTAATGGCTGCATCATTTGACTCCGTAAGCGGATTTGATGAGGCTGGTTCCGGAGCTCTGCAGCTGCGCCGTTCGGGGTCTTAACTGTGTGCAGCGTGGCATCTCCGGTCTTCATCTCCGACCTTCCGGTTCCTAGACCTGTTCCCAGACCCGTTCTCAGACCCGTTGCCGGAGCCATGATGCCCGGGCCAGATTGAAGAATAGCAATGTGTGGTTCCTGAATGAGTGGCGCGGCGGTAATCAGATGTGGATTCGTGTCCGCTGACGGTCGGGCCGTCGTGCCCGTGAGGAGCCGGCAGCGTTCTCGACTGGCCTCCAATGAGGTCTTGCCGCCGTCGCCGAAAACGCTTTCGAGGTCGGGCGCACAAGGGATGGATGGCGGCGGCCGCATGACGACCTGCACCCCGAACGCGCGTCCTAACGGCGCCAGTAGGGCCCTCATGCACTTAAAAGTTACTAGTTGCAGCAGCGACGGCTCCGCACCCATTCGATGGGTGTGTGCCATCCGCCCCTTCGGAAGCGATTCAGCACTTCCACTCGACCCGTTCCGTAACCGGTCCGGTCGCCGTCGTCTCCGGCCGCGACCGGGCGAACTCACTCGCCGCCGCGGAGAAAATCCCAACGCCGTCGCCGCCCGTTCCTCATCCCCTCCTCTACGGGCACACACTCCCCGACCCCAAGATTCTCCGGCAATGCACGGCCTAGTTCTACTCCGTAGACCTTTAGGACTCCGTAGACCTTTAGGACTCCGTAGACCTTTAGAACTCCGTAGACCTTCAGGACTCCGTAGACCTTCAGGACTCCGTAGACCTTCAGGACTCCGGTTGAAATACCGCTCCCCTCGAACCTGCGTACGAACAGAGGCTTCGGTCTTCCCGTTCCGCCCCGTTTGCCTTTCCGAATGTTTGCTGTGCTCCAGGTGCGCGGCCCGCTCTGCGTGCCGACTGACCCCTTTGTGCAAATGTTCGACGGTACGGCCCGGATTGTGTGTGCCACGTGCACTGTGCTTGCGGCCCGCACTGTGTGAGTGACCCTCCCTGTGTGACCGACCTCCACTGCGTGTGCGGCCCCCACTGCGTGTGCGGCCCCCACTGCGTGTGCGGCCCCCAGTGTGTGTGCGACCCCCAGTGTGTGTGCGGCCCCCAGTGTGTCCTCGGCGGTGGTACGTTTGGTCCGGCGACGATGGTGTGCCCAATGCGGCGGTAGTTTCCGAGTCCGTGTCACTTTGTCGGGTCCGAAGAAGTCGGACGTGTCGGCGGTGATTTACTTCCCGGTCGGCCCTGCGCTGTTCCGTCAAACGCTGGTCGTCAGGTCCCTGGTTCGAGCCGAAAGAAGGTTTCGGGTTTAGCAGGTCCAGAGGACCATTCGCGGGGATGCTTGGTCGAGTGTCAAGCACAGGAGGGTCGGTCCTCGTGAACACTCGTGACGGCTCCACCTCTGCTGGACGTATGGGAATCACCTCCACGAAGTCCGGATCCGTGCCGAGTCGCTGTTTTCCGATCGGGATGCCTACAATCGTGTTCGGAAGAGAAATCCCAATTGGTGATCCGGGTGTGAAAGACGGAGGCATGGCCTGTTCCAGAGAGCTTGCTGCCGATGTTCTGGGGTCAGTGGATGTCGTTATGTTTGCCGGCACTGATTCATGTGTATCGCTGACCGGACACACTCCGGTCAGAGGCTGAATAGTTAGAGGCTGAGTGGTCAGAGGCTGAGTGGTCAGAGGCTGAGTGGTCAGAGGCTGAGTAGTTAGAGGCTGAATAGTTAGAGGCTGAATAGTTAGAGGCTGAGTGGCTAGAGGCTGAGTGGTCACGGGCAGAATGGCTAGAGGGTGAGTGGTTCGAGGGTGACCGCTCACATGGTTGCTCGTCACAGGATGAGTACTAGAAGGAGGGTGGGTGCTGGTGCCGAGTGGGTTAGTGGTCATAGGGTTGCTGGCTGTGGGGTAAGCGGTCACCGGTTGGGTGGATTGTTGGTCAGTATGGTGACCGTTCGCAATGGCGTTGATCAGAGACGGCGGTTGGCCCATCGGTGGTGGCGGCTCCAGTCGTATGGGGTCGATAGTTCGTTGCATACATGTGTGTCCATCGTGGCAGTGACACCAGCTCGAACTTTTTTGTGTCCAAGATTGGTGAGTGTCGGTAGAGAGATATCTTGGAGACCGCGAACGCTGCCCCCGACGATCTCGCGGATGGTCATGCCAGGGGAGACAGCAGGGACTGGGCACCGTGGAACACTCCAACGACTCGACATAGTGCTGTCGTCGTCCACGATGCTTGACGGGAACGTCCAGGTCTCTCCTTAGTGGCAATAATATTCGCCGGGGACGCACAAAAAGTTCCGAATCATCCTCACTGCTGCAGGCAGAATGGGGGTGCATTACGCAAACGGAGATGTCTTGGCTAAGATTCTAACGTCAAAAAATGACACGGAGAAGAAATCCTCTTTCAGAAGAACCAGGGACATCACATCCATAAAGTACGCCACATGGACTACACCCCACATGGACTACACGCCACATGGACTATACGCCACATGGACATCACACTACAATCGTGCCACATGGACTACAATCGGGATAACTAGCCAATCGATCGACAACAGTCAGTCGGGACAACAGTCAGTCGGGAGAGAGTGCGTTCTTGGTAGAGACTTGTATGAAGCCTGTAATAATTTTGTTGAAGTCAGTAAAACGGTTGCACGGGATCTAATGACGTTCAACCTCACTTCTCGTAATGAATTCAACCGATGATCGGATGACGCTATTTTTTATAGTGGATGAGATTACATGTGCTCAAGACCCTCTCGTGCCGCTAATAATCGTTTCAGCATTAATGAGTTACCAGGCAGAGATCCAAATGCTTCTATTGGCCGTGAATCCCGCAATAGCAAGGATTATTGCCCGCATTAAGGGGTCTCAAGATGATACCGTCAAATGCTTCATTGAAACGTAATGTTTGCACCACACACACACACACTTTTTTTCAGCGTCTATGCGATGATGAAAAATCCTATCCATGTTGCCAAATGTCTGTCTGCTCTCACTGATCCCGAGCTATTCAATTATGTCAAGACTAAATTACGTCTCCCTACCATTGATGATGGTCTTTGTGGACTAGCCATAATTATGACTAACAGACTGCACTGGTTATATAATGCGTTGGTCCTCGAACCTTTAGAAATATCAACAGGTATAGACGATCCGGAATTTTACTGCTACGTTAATCAATAGGTCATCACCAGTTAGGGTAAGGAAGCCATGGCCAAGCCGCCTTAATTCGCAAATCCGGTTTGCGACAAAAAAATCAGAGTTTAACCTCGTTGCCAATTCGCAACATCTTCACTGTTCTAGTTACCTGCTTCGCCAATAGGTTACAGATATCTTGGTCGGTTGTAATCTGATTACCTTCTGGAATGGGTACAATGCAACTCATTCCAACATCAGGAGCATCAGCGACACCACTTGAGTTTTGGGCTGTATATACAACAGTCTTAGTGTTGTACTTTTGCGCCATCCTTGATAGCTCGACAGGAATATCTCCAACGTTCCTAACATCGACATTGTATGCCCCAGTTATGAGCAGGTCAACTTTCGCGATTTGCGACTCAAACTCGTCGTCAACTACCACCGCCAAACCAGACTTAAGCTCCGTGTCCAGTAGTACCGACAACATGTACGCCGCTCCACCACCACAGCCAGAACCTGGCTGTATGCACGCACTTCTATTATTGCACACGCGCCCGACAACTTCAACCAATGACTAAATTAAACTACCTTTAATCAGCCCTCCACAACTTGTTTGTGTTCGCGAACACGTGTGTGCAATCAACCGAAAACGTGTGTATAACAATGTAATATGTGCGTGAGCTGCGGGGGGGGGGAGTCTGACGTTCATGTTTTGTATGGCTACGTCGCGTTGCGACGCCGGTAGGGAGTTAAGGCTGTTGGATTCGCCATGTATGGGTAGTGTGCTTTCGCAAGCGACAATGATTTTGCAGTCGGACATGACATTATCAATATGGTCTAGGCTGAGTGATGCTACGCGGTCAGCGACGTTGCCTTCATGTGGAAGTTCATTTCCGTCGACGTCGTAAAAATCGACGCTAAGTGCCTGGGCCATTCCGATGCCGCCATCGATACAAGCGGCTTGGGCGGGTAGACCTACGTAGATTGTTCTGAAGCCCATCTCGGCGGCTTCGCGAAGGGCCTGGCCTAAGCCATAGCTATTTCCTTGTAACGGTGTGCTAAGCAGGTGTTGACCGATAATACTTTCAGCTTCGATGACTGCCGTATTATTCGTGCGGTTGATAAGCATTGGAACAGTGTTCATGACCTTATCGTTGCCCGGTGATCGAACATCGAGGTCGATGATGTCGTAATCTTGACCGTAGTATAGAGCGCGGAAACTATTGATGAACCCGCGACTGCCACAAGACATGGGCAGACAGTAGATGTCGTTAACACCATTCTCCTTCAGCGTATCCACGACAATGCAATTCGCCTCATGCGAGTCTATTTCTTTACTCCAATGACCCATGGCAACCACCACCTTGAGATCACACTTACCAGAGCATTTACCTAGGAACTGATCAACCAAACCTTTGTTCATTCTCTTACGTGGAGAGAAAGCAGCAGCCTCAGCTGCTGCCGCTTTCTCTGCCGCCGCCGCCTCGTCCGCCTGGGTACTTGCCGCCCCCGGACTTGATGCTTTATCTGGACTCGACTTGAAACTTTTCCCCGGCCGGTAACTAATCGACGGGCTCGGACGCCCCTTGCTCGGCTGACCACTGAAGTCCACCACCCCACGCTGACGTCGTGGACTAGGACCCTCCGGCAAATGCGGCGACTCACAACGCTCCAATAACACCTCCTTCCCATCATTAAACTGGTACACGTCCAAATCTTCGTCGATCTCGTCATGCAGAAACTGCAACCGACGCATCAAGATGCGTCCTCCATCCGAAGTTATGTGTCTACGCAACATATAAAAAAACCACCATGGGTTTTCCCGTGCTACCCGAAGTCACCTGTTTTCCACACACACCGACCAAATGAAGGGCTACTTGAGTAAGCCACGCCTCCCCGCCTGGCCGATCTACCCGGCAGCAGTGTGCCGCAGCAGTGTGCCATCCTGCATCCTAGCATCAAGATTTGCCACAATTGACGGCTCGCTACGCGCATCATCTTGGCTGGGAGACACACACACACGCTGCCCGTCGGGACTTCCCTTCAGTTACCCAACTGCCCCACTTTAGATCAACCCTTACAACACTTCCTCTCTTATAGCTACTTCCGCCTTGGCTTTCTGCGCTTCCGCTGGCACCAAAAAAATCCGTGGAGTTGTTGAGCCGATCGTTGGTGGCTCCATCTTGGGCGGCCCCATGATCGGTGGCCCCGTGATTGGCGGCCCCATGGTCGAACCCTTCATTTGGGAACGCCCCGCCACGATCATCGAACGCCCCCAGATCATCGAACGCCCCCAGATACTCGAGAGACCCACCTTCGTGGAACGCCCTCAGATCATCGAACGTCCTCAGATTATTGAGCGCGTCCCACACGTTATCGAATTGGAGCAGCCCATGACCCAGATCATCGAACGCCCCCAGATACTCGAGAGACCTACCTTCGTGGAACGCCCTCAGATCATTGAACGCCCTCAGTTCATTGAACGCCCTCAGTTCATTGAACAACGCCCCATCGTCACGGAGACTACTCAGCGCGAGTTCATAGAACACGCCCCCATTGTCGAGCATCTCATTGAGCGCCCCATCATTGAGACCAGAATCGAGAGACCCGTGTTCGAAACTAGAATTGAACGCCCGATCATCGAGGAGAGGACGGACACGCTGATCACCCACCCCACCTTCGAGTTTGAACTCCCTCAGCTTGTCGAGCGCCCCCAGATCATCGAGCGTCCTCAGATAATCGAACGCCCGCAGATTATTGAGCGCCCTCAGATCTACGAGTACGTTCCCCAGTACATCGACCAGGCCGTTCCCCAGTTCGTGGACCAGTACGTGCCGGCTAGCTCCGTCCACGGACGCTGGGCGGCCCTGCCTGGCGCCGTGAGCGAGTGGGACTTCCCTCGCACGCAGTTCCTCGCTTCCGTTGACGAGGTGGAGGAGACCGGAAACGAACTCCAGGCGCGTTTGGTTGAAGACGTCCTCGGGCGCGAGCTTGTGACCACTTCGGACTTAGTCCGCGGTGTTCCTCTGGACATTTTCCGCACTGACTACGCCACGGCTCTGGGTTCGCCCGTCGGTGTTGACGATCTTGCCGTCCGCACCGGTCTGACTATCCGTCCCGAGCTCGCCCTGCGTCCTGAATTGGCTCTCCGCCCGGAAGTCATCCGCCGTGGTGCCCCCCTTGCCCTCAGGACTGACAGACTCCGTAGCGACCGACTTGGTGTGGACAGACTGGGCGTCGTCGACCGTGTGGGCGTCGATCGTCTCGGTGTGGACAGACTTGGCGGCGGGCTCCGCGTCGATGAACTCGCACTCCGTGATGCTTACGTCGATGCCGCTCTCAGGGAGAACCTCCTGAACGATAAGCTCGTCCGGGAAGTGGAACGCCCGCGCCGTGTCTGGGACCGTGAGACCGTGGTTGACCTGCTTTCCGAGCAGGGCGAAGGTATGGAAGCCCCCAAGGACACCGCTGAACCTGCCGTCGTAGAGGAGGTGGTCGCTGAAACCGAACAATAGAACAACCAACCCGCTTATTAAATTAAAAATTAGTAGATAAGAATTAATGACTCCTCCACTTGTCAGCTTCGTCGGGTAATTTCGTCGCACACGCCGTACACACTTGGTAACACTCCAGGGCACCCAAACGTCGTTCGTGTTGAGGGTTGTATGTGTCCCAAGTCATCTCCCCTTTTTTCTCAGAATGGTCGAAAACTGCTTGGACCATCACTGCAGCGACCCGCACAAGCAGTGGGACATTCTACATTCCAATAGCATGGCATCCCGCTCCCCCAGTGTAAGCGACCGTCTGTTCAACCAGAGTAGCGGGTCTCTTGAAGATCAGGTGGCCGCCGTGTTGGTACATGAGGTGGCTCGCCGCCTCAGTCAGAGTAGTAGTCAGAGTAAGAATAGTAGCCGCCATGAGCAGAGCTGGGTTTCTTCCGAGGCAACTGTTCAGGAAGTCGGTGTCGAGGCAAGCCGTGAGGCCGGGGTAAGCCGCGAGGCCGGGGCAAGCCGTGAGGCCTCGGTAAGCCGCGAGGCCGGGGTAAGCGGCGAGGCCGGGGTAAGCCGCGAATCCAAGCCCAGTGATGCTGCCCACAACAGCGACAATGCGAGTCTGGTTCCGTATCCGGTCGACTGGCATGTGCCACAAGCCCTTGTGGACAGAAGCTCCATGTACGAGAAATGGACGATGCACAGGAACTGTGTTTGCGATGGAAAAACAAGATACCGATTTGACGACGAAACCAGCAAGTACTTCCCTCACACCTTTAATTATCGACCACCTTGCTGCTTCGAGAAAGTTTTGATCCAAATAGAAGCCAATGGAGTAGTCAAAGTCACCAGCGAGGGACGGCTGCTGGCGTGCTTCTCTTACACCGTATGGAAAGAGGATTTGGACGTAATTCAGCGAGAGGAAGAGTGCATGATGAAGTGCTTGGGGGAGAACATCTGGTGGATAGCAAACGAAAATGTCAATGAAATAACAATCAAACGATCAGAACCCGGTTCAAGCTGCAAATACTACCCGCACTTCACTTCATTCTGGGAAGCAAATCACACTCGCACCAACCTAATGGTCTTTGCGCGGCAACTCGCCGGCAAGTTCCATGTAAAGATAGTCATTTCATAGATACTTTTTTTCATTTAGTTAGACACTACTGAGCTTAGGGAGATGGACCAAGATGATGGAGGGGGGGG